ACAGCAACCAATCTGGCTTCAAAAGCGGACACTCAACTGAGACTTCCCTGCTCTCGGTTACTGAAGCCCTGAGACTGGCAAGAGCAGCTTCCAAATCCTCAGTACTCATCTTGCTGGATCTGTCTGCTGCTTTTGACACAGTTAACCACCAGATTCTTCTGTCCACCCTCATGAAGATGGGCATCTCAGGAACCACACTCCAGTGGATCAAGTCTTACCTCTCAGGTAGGTCCTTCAGGGTGTCTTGGAGGGGTGAGGTTTCTAAGTCACAAATTCTTGCTACTGGTGTTCCTCAAGGCTCAGTGCTTGGACCACTTCTCTTCTCCATCTACATGTCATCATTAGGATCTGTTATTCAGAAGCATGGCTTTTCTTATCACTGCTATGCTGATGACACTCAAATCTACTTCTTCTACTTCTCATTTCAACCAGATGATCCAACGGTAGCTGCTCGCATTGCAGCCTGTCTGAGAGATATTTCTAGCTGGATGAAGGACCATCACCTTCAACTCAACTCCAGTAGCCGCTCGCATCAAATTCAAGGTACCGATGCTTGCCTACAAGACCACCACTGGCGCTGTACCAATATACCTTAACTCGCTAGTTCAAACTTATGCGTCCTCCAGAAGCTTGCATTCTGCAAGTGAACGGCGTCTTGTGGTGCCATCCCAAAGAGGCACATAATCACTGTAAATGTAATGTGATTTTGACTGCAGATGTGTGATTTTTGACTAGATATGTGATTGTTGTGTGATTTTTGACTGTATATGTGTGATTTTGACTGCAGACATTTTTTTTGACTGCAGATGTATGATTTTGACTGCAGACGGTAAATGTTTTACTGCAGATGTGTGATTTTTTTGACTGCAGATGTGATTCTTGTGTGATTTCTTACTGTAGATGTGTGATTTTGACTGAAGAAGTGTGATTTTTGACTGCAGTTGTGTTTTTTTAGTAGATGTGATTGTTGTGTGATTTCTGATTGTAGATGTTGATTTGAAAGACCACCACTGGCGCTGTACCAATATACCTTAACTCGCTAGTTCAAACTTATGCGTCCTCCAGAAGCTTGCATTCTGCAAGTGAACGGCGCCTTGTGGTGCCATCCCAACGAGGCACATAATCACTGTAAATGTAATGTGATTTTGACTGCAGATGTGTGATTTTGATTAGATGTGTGATTTTGACTGCAGATGTGTGATTTTGACTGCAAATGTGTGATTATTGACTGCAGATGTGATTGTTGTGTGATTTCTGACTAGATGTGATTTTTACTGCAGATGTGTGATTTTAATTGTAGACGTGTGATTTTTGACTGCATATGTGATTTTGACTACAGATGTGTGATTTTTGACTAGATGTGATTGTTGTGTGATTTCTGATTGTAGATGTTTATTTTGACTGCAGGTGTGTGATTTTGACTGCAGATTAGTGATTTTTGACTGCAGATGTGTTTTTTTTGTAGATGTGATTGTTGCGTGATTTCTGAGTGTAGATGTTGATTTTGACTGCAGACGTGTGATTTTTGACTGCAGATGTGTGATTTTGACTTCAGATGTGTGATTTTGACTGCAGATGTATGATTTTTCACTGCAGGTGTGTGATTTTGACTGTAGATGTGTGATTTTGACTGGAGATGTGTTATTTTAACTGTAGATGTGTGATTTTTGACTACAGATGTGATTGTTGTGTGATTTCTGACTGTAGATGGGATTTTGACTGCAGATGTGTGATTTTAATTGTAGAAGTGTGATTTTTGACTGCATATGTGTGATTTTGACTGCAGATGTGTGATTTTGACTGTAGATGTGTGATTTTTGACTACAGATGCGATTGTTGTGTGATTTCTGACTGTAGATGGGATTTTGACTGCAGATGTGTGATTTTAATTGTAGAAGTGTGATTTTTGACTGCATATGTGTGATTTTGACTGCAGATGTGTGATTTTGACTGCAGACAATTGATTTTGAAAATCACTGTAAATGTAATGTGATTTTGACTGCAGATGTGTGATTTTTGACTAGATATGTGATTGTTGTGTGATTTTTGACTGTATATGTGTGATTTTGACTGCAGACATTTTTTTTGACTGAAGATGTGATTTTTGACTAGATGTGATTGTTGTGTGATTTTTGACTGTAGATGTATGATTTTGACTGCAGACGGTAAATGTTTTACTGCAGATGTGATTTTTTTGACTGCAGATGTGATTCTTGTGTGATTTCTTACTGTAGATGTGTGATTTTGACTGAAGAAGTGTGATTTTTGACTGCAGTTGTGTTTTTTTAGTAGATGTGATTGTTGTGTGATTTCTGATTGTAGATGTTTATTTTGACTGCAGGTGTGTGATTTTGACTGCAGATGAGTGATTTTGACTGCAGATGAGTGATTTTTGACTGCAGATGTGTTTTTTTTAGTAGATGTGATTGTTGCGTGATTTCTGAGTGTAGATGTTGATTTTGACTGCAGCCGTGTGATTTTTGACTGCAGATGTGTGATTTTGACTTCAGATGTGTGATTTTGACTGCAGATGTATGATTTTTCACTGCAGGTGTGTGATTTTGACTGTAGATGTGTGATTTTGACTGGAGATGTGTTATTTTAACTGTAGATGTGTGATTTTTGACTACAGATGTGATTGTTGTGTGATTTCTGACTGTAGATGGGATTTTGACTGCAGATGTGTGATTTTGACTGTAGATGTGTGATTTTGACTGGAGATGTGTTATTTTGACTGGAGATGTGTTATTTTGACTGCAGATGTGTGATTCTTGACTGCAGATGTGATTGTTGTGTGATTTCTGACTAGATGTGATTTTGACTGCAGATGTGTGATTTTAATTGTAGACGTGTGATTTTTGACTGCAGTTGTTTGATTTTGACTACAGATGTGTGATTTTTGACTAGATGTGATTGTGTGATTTCTGATTGTAGATGTTTATTTTGACTGCAGGTGTGTGATTTTGACTGCAGATTAGTGATTTTTGACTGCAGATGTGTTTTTTTTGTAGATGTGATTGTTGCGTGATTTCTGAGTGTAGATGTTGATTTTGACTGCAGACGTGTGATTTTTGACTGCAGATGTGTGATTTTGACTTCAGATGTGTGATTTTGACTGCAGATGTATGATTTTTCACTGCAGGTGTGTGATTTTGACTGTAGATGTGTGATTTTTGACTACAGATGCGATTGCTGTGTGATTTCTGACTGTAGATGGGATTTTGACTGCAGATGTGTGATTTTAATTGTAGAAGTGTGATTTTTGACTGCATATGTGTGATTTTGACTGCAGATGTGTGATTTTGACAGCAGACAATTGATTCTGACTGCAGATGTGTGATTTTGATTAGATGTGTGATTTTGACTGGAGATGTGTTATTTTAACTGTAGATGTGTGATTTTTGACTACAGATGCGATTGTTGTGTGATTTCTGACTGTAGATGGGATTTTGACAGCAGATGTGTGATTTTAATTGTAGAAGTGTGATTTTTGACTGCATATGTGTGATTTTGACTGCAGACGTGTGATTTTGACTGCAGACGATTGATTTTGACTGCAGATGTGTGATTTTGATTAGATGTGGGATTTTGACTGCAGATGTGTGATTTTGACTACAGATGTGTGATTTTCTGACTGCAGATGTGTGATTTTTGACTAGATGTGATTGTTGTGTGATTTCTGATTGTAGATGTTTATTTTGACTGCAGATGTGTGGTTTTGACTGCAGATGAGTGATTTTGACTGCAGATGAGTGATTTTTGACTGCAGATGTGTTTTTTTTAGTAGATGTGATTGTTGCGTGATTTCTGAGTGTAGATGTTGATTTTGACTGCAGCCGTGTGATTTTTGACTGCAGATGTGTGATTTTGACTTCAGATGTGTGATTTTGACTGCAGATGTATGATTTTTCACTGCAGGTGTGTGATTTTGACTGTAGATGTGTGATTTTGACTGGAGATGTGTTATTTTAACTGTAGATGTGTGATTTTTGACTCCAGATGCGATTGTTGTGTGATTTCTGACTGCAGATGGGATTTTGACTGCAGATGTGTGATTTTAATTGTAGAAGTGTGATTTTTGACTGCATATGTGTGATTTTGACTGCAGACGTGTGATTTTGACAGCAGACAATTGATTTTGACTGCAGATGTGTGATTTTGATTAGAGAAGTGTGATTTTTGACTGCATATGTGTGATTTTGACTGCAGATGTGTGATTTTGACTACAGATGTGTGATTTTGACTAGATGTGTGATTTTGACTAGATTTTGACTGTAGATGTGTGATTTTGACTAGATGTGATTGTTGTGTGATTTCTGATTGTAGATGTTTATTTTGACTGCAGATGTGTGATTTTGACTACAGATGTGTGATTTTCTGTCTGCAGATGTGTGATTTTGACTAGATGTGTGATTTTGACTGTAGATGTGTGATTTTGACTACAGATGTGTGATTTTCTGACTGCAGATGTGTGATTTTTGACTAGATGTGATTGTTGTGTGATTTCTGATTGTAGATGTTTATTTTGACTGCAGATGTGTGGTTTTAATTGCAGATGTGTGATTTTTGACTGCAGATGTGTGATTCTGACTGTAGATGTGATATTTTGACTACAGTGTGTGATTTTTTGACTAGATGTGTGATTGTGTGATTTTTTGACTAGATGTGTGATTGTGTGATTTTTTTCCAGCTAATTTTGCTGAGGCGGATGTGAAGTCTCTGATGCAGAAGGGTCATGATGTGTGTAAGGTGGACATCATCTCACTGGTAGAAGGGACCCGGAGGACCAATGACCTGATCATCGGTGTGAAGGACCCTCGCAGCACTGATGCCTCTGCGCTGTCCATGTCCATGCCCTAGATTCACACACACACACACACACACACACTCTGTGCTACAAAGCTGTTTGTGCACTAATTGGGGACGTTATGAGGTTAACAAGTTCCAAGGATAGAGTTGATAACCAAAATAGGTGGACAGTGTCCGGTAGATAGAAATGAGCCGCTCCCTGCTACCCCACCACAAAAACAGCAACATACACACACACACACACGCAATGATGACAAATTGTAAAAGACAGCTGTTTTTGTTGTTGTTGTTTTTTTACCTCAAAGGGTACCTCACTGCTCCTTTAACTGGTTAACGGTTCCAACACATATAGTATGTGTCAAAACATTTGGACATACCTGCTCTTTATTTATTATATTTTCAAATTATATTTGATATTTTCCTCATTATGGAATTATAGTAAAGCAATTATAACGGTGAAATAACACAAAAGAAAGTGTGCAAAATATGTAGTGACCAGAAAATGTCAAACAAATCAACATATTTAGCTTATTCAGTCGCCAGCCTTCATCTAGAGTTCAGCTGAGCACACTTCTCTTAAAAAACCTCACGTGGAGCATCTTGTGCTTAAGTAAAATAAACAGTACTGAAGGTGTTTCTTGTGTGCTGGTCATCTGCTGGCTGCTTTTCCTTAACTCATAAGATCATAAGGAACAAATTCAGTCAAGTGTGTCCAAACTTTAACTAGTACTGTATAGTTTTGTATTAGCCTCTTCATTATCATAATTAGTAGTTCCTTCAGGGTTGTGTAGGATTATGCCATATGCGAATTGGAGGTAGATAAAGGCAAATTAAAGGATTTTTTTCATATCTTGCAAGACCTTGCAAGGTCTCTTGAAGTCTTCATGAAGAAGTATCTTCACAAATGTGAGTAAATGTTACTTGAAGTGAATGTTACATGAATAATTTCTCCAGTTTACGAATGAATGATTGTACATATTATATAATGATTAATGAGGGTTGGGTGGTAACAAAATAGTAACTATATGGTCTTATTTTATTAGCCGATCAAACCCTCCTGGAATCATTAAGGAAATGGTCTAAAATGAATGAAGCCGAGAGAATGCCAGTTGTAAAATGGTAATATAGAAACTAATATGCTCTCAGATGCGGTTTAATATATGCCATGATTATTACCTTTTACAGTTGTATTTTGAATTGTGGATGTCAGTTTCTTGATGTATATAATTGTATTGCATTTTCTCTTCGGTGTGGAAACGGTAAAATAAGTTTTAGTTTATGCACATATTTCTGAGAGATGATCAGCTGATTATTTAAAAGTGAAGTGAGCTTCCTGTTTATAGGCACAATTGGTATTTTCTGCCACAACTGAATATTATTGCACTGTAACAGCACCATTGTGTTTAGTAGCTTTGCAATGACGGTGATTACGATGGAGAATTAATATGCATATGTAGTGTAGTTTCTTTGCATTATTTCCAAACTCATTCATTTCAGAATGCAGGAGTCCTTGAGATGTAAAAAGCTGGAAGGACTAAAGATATTTCATATGAGTGAAAGTTTAGAATAAAATTGAACACAATTATTTATAAGTGTAAAACGTAAGCATATTAAAAAAACAATAAACATAACCCCCAATGCATGCATTGCTTTACAAATTCAGAAAAAAAGGATTAAGCATACAGTAAAACTATTGATAACTAACTTGAAAACGTTTCTTTGCATTAAGAAATTTGAAATGAAACTAAAGTGAAGAATCAATATATTCATGCATAAGCTGCAAAATAAAATTCACAAATCAAAATGAAGCTGTTGTCATAATCAGTGGCGTGGTCATTACTCTATAAATAAAAATTATACATATTTCACCAGTGTTGCGGGTGACGCATTACAAGTAACCCGAGTTACGTAATCAGATTACTTTTTTCAAGTAACTAGTAAAGTAACGCATTACTTTTTGTGTGTTGATATTTCTTCTTCTGCATTTTCTCTTCAGCCTGAGGCTTATTCATTTCACTTCTGGTGTGAAAAGGCTTTTATATTTGCCAGAAATATTACTTTTTTAATTTAAAAACAAGCAAGCAAGCCCTGTCCAGATTTTAAAAGTAACGCAAAAGTAACGTAACGCATTACTTTCCATAAAAAGTAACTAAGTAACGTAATTAGTTACTTTTTTGCGGAGTAACGCGATATTGTAACGCATTACTTTTAAAAGTAACTTTCCCCGACACTGTTGTTCAAGGATACAACAACCCAGTGAAGCGGACCCCGCGCCGCTCTGAAACGCGTTCACTTCCGGTCACTAGGCCCCGCCCCGCCCCTTCAGTCACCCTGGTGTTGTGCTGCTAGTGATCTCTGTGCCACGATCATATTTCTGTGATCATAACCGTACAGTTTATGATCACAACAGAGCGGTGTGTGCTCATAACCCTCTGTCGCCGGCGCGAGCGTTGACCTGCCGCGCACAGCCGCCTCGCGACGGCGCCGCTAGCGTGTGCTAGCACAGACCTGTTTACTGCAGCAAACCCTCTCCTGATGGACTGATAACGGTGAGATCTGACCCCTCCTTGCCCTACAGAAACATTACCGCGAGGTTAACATGTAAGTGCGTGCGCTGCATGGACGCAAGAGGCTAATATTAGCGAGGCTGACTGTGTTTGTATAGCTAATACTTTAGTTCGCCTGCGTGAAGGAAACTCCTAATAATAATAATAATAATAGTAATACTTCACTTGTGCACTGCGGTGTTGTTGTTAGGGCTGCGTGTACCAGACATGAGCTTTAAAGTCATTATAATGTGTTGTTTGTCTTTAGCTTAAACGATGCGGTTTGTCTTTGTTTTGATATTGCTAATGCTAATGCTAGAGAAATAAACCCTTACGAAGCTCCTCAGTTAAGTCCTCAGTAACGGCAAGGATACTGATATATTATTAGAGGTTATGTATTGGATGTTTACAGGTTGCATCGCGGTTATTTAGCAGCGAAACTCACCTCGGAGCATTATTTGACTTCTCATTCTCAGTACAAAGTGTCATGGTGTTAGCATTTGATACCCTCCCTGTACCGCTGCTGTACTGTTACTTATATTAGCATTACACTACATAACAGCTTTTCTCAGTCACTGACTCCTGTTGTATCGTATTGTTGTGTGTTATTAAATACTGTATGAAGTAGGGGTGTGCGATATCGACACAAAACGATATCGCGATGTTTTCTGGGATTTTATCGGTAACGATAATTAGACGATATTTTGCTGAGTGTGTTATTGTGCTGGTACCTTAAGGACTGCCGAAGACAGCTGACTCCTAATGCTTTTAATATTCTTCATATTCTGTGTGCTGGTCAGTTCATACTGATAGAAATTAACCTTTTCCAATAAGTTTAAACTGATTTTTGCATTTTATTGGCATTTTTACCTTTATAAAGCCATTTCTTCTAAAAGTGTCCATTATCTTTTGAGTCAAATTCTTACATTTAATCAGTGAATTAGAATAATAAGACATTTGGGCTGTTACCGAGCAAATTAAATCAACACAGAAGCTGCATCTGAAGTAGCATTTAGATGCATTTACACACATGTATTGTGTTTAACGCAAGACATGAATGCATTTAACCTGCAATTACACATGCATAAATAATGTTTTGATATATTAAACATAAAACGTTGAATACTGATATTTGAAATGATTTAAAACATGAAAAAAATCAAAGAAAGAAAAAGAAGAAATTTGAAATTAAAGCAAATAAAATCATTGGGATTGAACCGAATCATTTAAACGGTTGATTCATTCAGGAACGAAACACCGTCGTGTTGCTCAGAGACACAAAACAGCGCTGTGGCTGTAGCTTGCAAAGTAGAGCAAAAACAAGCAATATGGTGTCTAAACCGTAAGTCTCTTAATTAACTTATTGTTTATTGAATTCAATGTCACATTTGTAATCATGGTAATATTTGGAGAAAAAGGCACTCTTCCGTGTGAAATTGAATAACTATATGAAGTGGTATAAATATATAAATGTTCTGCCATCATGTCTTGAATTTGTGATCATTCTAAATGCATTTTAATAGCCTGGATCTTGCAGTGAAAGAAAACACACTAAATGCGCACACGCACTAGTCTAGACTTCACGTAATGTATGCGTGCGCTCTGTAGGGCTGTTTTGAATGGTTTTTGCAAAATACTCGATAATGTCAAATCACACATCGTTAAAACAACAATTACGATATTATCGCAGACGATATATATCGCACACCCCTAGTTTTTAGCATGGTTTAGCAATGTTTTCACGTTTCTTGCATGTTGCTAATGATTAAGCATATCTTGACATGTTTCTGTCATGTTTTCTAGCATGTTTCTATCATGTTTTTTGCATGATTTAACATGTTTATCACGTTTCTTGCATGTTTTAGCATGTTGCTAATATGATTAAGCATATTTTGACATGTTTCTATCATGTTTTTAGCACGATTTAACATGTCTTAGCATTTTTCTAGCATGATTTAGCATGTTTTACGTGTTTCTTACATGTTTTAACATGTAGCTAGCGTGTTTTAACATGTTGCTAGCATGGTTAGCACATAGCTAGCATAAATTAGCATGTTACTAACATAATTTAGCACATCGTCCCAGAATATCCGTTAAGCTTTACTAGTGATAGACAACTTAAATGCACTATAAGTCTTACAAAAAATACAAAAGTTTACTGTTGTATAAATAAATATATATATATATATATAATAAAAAAAAATTTTACTAAAAAAAGTTTTTTTTAAATTTTTTTATTTGGGCTAGTTAAATAAATTTTCGGACTACCAAAATCTGAAGAGTATGTGCCCGAAGGGCTACCAGGGATTTTGAAATTTTGCGAGCCCAGCCTCTACGAGTGCCATCTATTATTGCCTTTTTTATCTAAAGGTGCTCTTTTCCTTTAAAACTAGCCAACAAGCCATATGTGGTGGCTGTGAAACACAGACTTGAATTATATGCATTTATAGTGTAATTTTGCATTTACTGCAAACAATGCGCTGTCACTTTAATTCAGCGTGTGCAGTGGAAACTATCTTGGCACAGCTCCTGGAACGCACTGCCGGACCGCAACCGTGTGCAGTGTGAACACTTTAAAATCCGTTAACATGAGCGTGAAAAAAAAATATGCACCGCATACGCACTGCACACGGAGTATGTCTGAACCTGCCGTTATGTGTGTGTGCTGCGAGTGTGCATGAGCGCTCAGTCTCCAGGGGCCTCATGTATAAAACTTTACGTAGATTTCATTCTAAATGTGTGCGTACGCACAAAAGCTAGATTTTGCGTACATACAAAAGTTTTCAGATTTATAAAGCCATGAGTACGCCAGAACCTGCGAACAATTCCCTTTTTAATACCCAGTCAGCGGAAGATTGTGCGTACATGCATCTCCCCCCCGAAATAGCCATGTATGGAGTTTACAACGCCTAGTTTTATTATGCATAACGTAATCTGCATATCATTTCCATGCATATTCCATCTACGTGACACCATTCGTTTTTATACCTATATCCTAACCCTAACCCCACCCAAGTCCCACCCATATAACTAAGTCCCACCCACCAACATATGATTTGAAAATCAAACGTGCATATCTTACAGTTTCCTTCAAATTCTATCTTTTAAATATGGTGTTTGTCACAATATTGGGAAGAGCACGAAAGGGGTTATCATGAAGGCTGATGGACCTGTTCAAACCAGCCAATGGACTGTTTGATCTGTCGTTACCGTCTATGTTCCAAAGGCATCAGACGAATCACGTTCACATCAATGATCATTATTATTCGTGCAAAAGTATTTTCTCAGAACATGAGTTTTGGTATTTAGAACACAATTTAAATCCATCATAAATTAGGCCAGCTATCCAGTGCGTTGTGATTGGCCGAATGCCTCAAGCGTGTGATGGAAATGTTACACCCCTCACCATACTGTGATGCCGTCTCCCAGCAGGACGAGACTCAGTCCAGCTGCTCAACTTTACTAGTGGTTCAATGGATCACAAATCTCACGGTTCGGATCACATTTATGGTTTTTGATCCACGGATCGGATCATTTTTCGGATCAGCAAGAAAATAGAAATATTTCAATTTAACTTGCTTTCCATTTATTACTTAAAGCGAAGTACTTCTTTGATACCACAACAAATACTACTAGATTAACTAAGAAAGTTTAAACATGATTAAAGAGACAAGAGGACAGCCAGTAAAAATAAGAGCAAATACACAAATTACAAGCAGAGATAAATACAACAGAATATGTTACAAATAAAATAAGGTTGGTAGTATTCAAATACAAAAATGTAATAATTATGGAAAATAACACTGCATAGTGTTCACTGTATAAATTAAATCTAGATTTTTATCACAGCTGTTTTGTTGTTTGATGATCATTAATGACAGCAGCAGTATTTATAGGCCGCTGTCCCTTTAAGACCTGATTCACGGATCCGATATAATGATATACATCACATCCAATTTCTTTCTCAGCTGTTTTCATTCACTTGAGACATAACTGACAGCGTTTACCTGAATGATTGTCGAGATGTGTATTTTGTCATAATTTTATGTGTATGTGTCTGTTCAGAGGATTCAGAAGAGG